GAGCCTCTAGAGGTCGTATTTGCTGATATTATAGGTCCTAAAAAACCAAGTGTGGGAGGTGCTCGTTATATATTAAATATAATGGATCATTATTCTAGATATGGTTTCTATTATTTAATGAAGAGTAAAACGGAAACATATCAGAATTTCTTTAATTGGTTGAAGTTTGCAGAAAGAAAAACTAAAAGGAAACTAGTAACTCTTGTAACTGATAATGGTACAGAATTTATAAATAATAAATTCCAAAATAGACTGAAGATGGCAGGTGTAGAACATTAAAAGTCTGCACCATATAGGCCACAACATAATTCCTTTATAGAAAGACGAGGCCAAACAATACAGACAATGGCTCGTACTATGTTGTCAGATTCAGGATTACCTGAAACTTTGTGGAGAGAAGCAATAATGTGTGGTAATCATATATTGAATAATGTTGTTAACTCAACAACAGGTGAATTACCATTCACACGGTGGCATGATAGAAAACCTGACCTAAGCTACATGCACACATTTGGAGCACCAATATGGGTGCATATTCCTACACAACTGAGACATAAGGGGCAGCATAGGGCTAAAAGGTTATTTTTTGTAGGTTATGAATCTAATCACAAATCATACAGATTCTGGGAAAAAGGTACATCTAGCGTTTACTGTAGTGCTAGTGCACAATTCCTTGAACATGTAGGATGGGAAAGACTGGAGCAAGATTCAAGTAAGGATGTAATCACAGAAACCTACAAAAGACCAAAACAACATATCAGTAATAAGAAGAGTCCAATTAAAGAGGAAGTACAGGAAGAGAACATAGGACCAGAACAGGAAGAAATAGGTGAACAGGAAGAAATAGATAACCAGGAACAGGTAGTACATGAAAGTCCACCTGTAAGCCCTGTAATACCTAGACGTTCAACACATGAAACCAGACCACCTGACAGGTACCAAGCAAGTGTAGTTTGCCAAGTTAGTAAAGTTCCAACTACTGTGGAAGAACTTAGAATGTATCCAGCAAAGGATCAAGAAAATTGGCATAGAGCGATGGAGAAGGAACTAAATTCATTGAAACAAATGGAAGTTTATGAGAATGTTAAATTACCTCCAGGTGAAAAGTCCATTGGCTGTAAATGGATATTTAAATTAAAAACAGGTAAAAATGGGACTGTTACCCATAAGGCTAGGTTGGTAGCTCAAGGATTTAATCAAACTGCATGTGATTATGATGAAGTATTTGCATCGAGTCTAAAAGCAACAACCTTGAGAGCAGCTTTCGTGTGGGCAGCTAAGAAAAACTATATCATAAATCACTTAGATGTAGAAACTGCTTATCTGCATGCACCATTGCAGCACACTATATACCTAAAGAAACCTGTAGGGATTAAGGATGATAAAACAAATAATGACTGTTGGAAGCTTAAAAAGAGTCTCTATGGATTAAAACAATCTGGTTACGAATGGAACCAATATATTGTTAAGGAGTTAAACAATATAGGGTTTAAAGAAGGTTTAGCTGATCCATGTTTATTTTAAAAAGAGACAAATGGAACATTGTCATTATTATTGTTGTTTACAGATGATATTGCTTTAATTACAAAAACTAATAATGAAGCTACTGAAATAATACTATTATTAGGTAAGAGGATAAAATTAAAGCAATTAGGAGAAACAGTATCTAGGATGAACAATAAATAAAACCAAAGGTGGCTATAAGGTATCTCAAGAGGATAAGATTTATCAATTACTAAAAACATACAAGATGGAACTTGATAAACTGGCAAAAACTCCAAGGAGTCAGGAATTTGGCCACACTGATGCTCAAAGTCCAAAATTCGATAAGACTATCTATCAATCGCTAATTGGTAGTTTATCGTACATTAGTAATTGGTCAAGGCCAGATATTGCCTATAGCGTTAATCAATTGGCAAGATTCAACGCTGAACCCACTGAACGACACTGGCAAGCGACAAAGCGTATCTTAAGATATCTTAAAAGGACAATGCACTATGCATTGTATTTGGAGCCAAAATATGATTTGATTTTAAGTGCATATGCTGATGCAAGTTTTGCAACAGACATAAACACTAGGAAATCAACTTCAGGAATGGCTGTACTGTTAGGAAAAGCACTGATTGGTTGGAGGTCAATTAGACAGCAACACATAAGTATGTCCACAATGGAAGCAGAATTTTCATGTCTATCTTTATTATGTACTGATTTAATTCTGTAGAAACAGTTATTATTGGATATGGGAATAACTGTTAATGATTCCATTGTAGTGTATGAGGACAATCAAGTAGCCATATGGATGGCTACAAATATTGCTGTGAAAACAAGATCTAAGCATACATATCTTAGATATCTGAATGTAAGGCAATCTGTAAAAAATGGTTTAATAAGACTGTAGCATTGTATGACTGAACAAAATATTGCTGATCAATTTACAAAAGCCCAAGGTTCAGTCAAACACAAAGAAAGTTGTGATGACTGTGGGTTAAGGTTGTAAATAGATATATATATTATTATATTACCCAAAAGGGGAGTATGTTAGGAATAACAAGGTTACCTAACGTAGTTTGGGTAAAATAATATATATAAACTATGATAGTAAGTTTAAGTGTGTGTCACTTTAAACTGCAAAGCATGTAATTTTGGGTGCGGTGTGAAACCGCCATAAGAGGGAGCAAGAGAACCTGCTGGATTGCTGACGATTGCTGGTTTGCTGGATTGATGGTTTGCTAACTGCGTGTTCCCTGCTGCTGAAGGAAGAAAGGAGGTTTGACTTCTTCATATCTCTACTGCGAGGAGATATATTACTGGACTGATATTTGTAAGTTTACTGACCTCTTTTTCGACACTGGACTTTGCAACTGAATAATCCCCTGATGGACTGAACTAGTGAATGATATATGGACTGTTTTGACTATGCTAAAACTCTTACTGGAATAAACTATTTAACTAGCACAGTGTATCTGTTTTACTGAGTGTAAGCTACAAAACCGTTTATCTCACATATTTTGCCTTCCGGCCTGACTGCCGTGCAGATTCTGCTAGGGTGTATCAATAACAAACTGCATACATGGAAAAGCTGGAAGGAAGCCCTGCCACAGTCCCCAATTTTAATGGCCCACCAGTCTTTCAACCAGGTTTAAAAGCCATTGAGTGGGCCCAAAAGAGGAAGGCAGATGGAAGAGCGGCTGAGTTCCGAGAGAAGCGGGTCAGAGCAGGATCCAACCCTTTCCAGCTTTAAACACAGCAGTCCGTGCTTCAAGTGGACATGGAAGGTGGGTGAGGAAAAGGAGGAAATAACATGTTTTGTCCAAGGCAAGAGTTTTTGACAGCCCTCTCTCCCATTGGAAGGTCCTTCAGAAAGCCCCGGAGAAATGGGAAAGAGGGATTTATGAATGCTAGCGGTAGAAAGGACCTACTTGGTTTGTATCCCGCAGTCCGATCCAGACGTGGTCATGACCTATGAGATAGTCGGTGATGTATTCAGAAAACTCAACTGCATCTGCATTGCTGTGAAGGGAAGCGAGGTGGCAACCTGGCTTTAATTTCCTGCAGAACATCTGAGAGAGAGAACAACCCCAAGAAAGGGCATGGGTTCAGCAGAGAAGAAACACGTGTGTGTGTGTGTGTGTGTGTGTGTGTGTGTGTGTGTGTGAAAGAAAAGAGCAGGGATCAGATTGCAAGGTCCTACCCATAATCCCAACTTCGTTGAACCCCACAGATTTCCTCACTGAGGTCCGCAGCTCTTCATCAGTTCCCTGCTTAAATTCCCTTCTCATCCATTACAATCCGACATCCCCATCGCTTCAGAGGCAAGGCAGTCGGAAGATGCCGGCTGTGGTCACCCATGAAACACCTGGAAATCTCTTGTCTACAAGACGGTCACTCAACCCGAACGCTCAACGCTGAATAAAGATGAAGAGGGTTGGATGGGACCTTTGGAGGTCTTCTAGTCCAGGGCTCTCCAACCTTGGCAACTTTAAGCCTGGCGGACTTCAACTCCCAGAGTTCCCCAGCCAGAAAACCTTCTTCCCTGCAGACTCCCCCACCTGGCTTTCTACTCGGCTCAAGCA